GATTCTTAAGCGGCTGTTTTAGCAACTTAAGTTTCTTAGCAATTTGGAATTGAGCCATGCCTTGAATATTCACATTCCAATTCTGCAAAAGTATGTTAGTGAAAGCACAATGTTGTAACCACATGTTAAAAAATTTGAATGATTTCGGCCTGAGAGAGGTATTGTTGAGTATAGACACCACGGAAGCCGTGTGGTCAAACTCGACCTCCATTTCAGTGAAATGGGCCTTGCATTCGATCCTCAAATGAGCCCACGTCTCATTTAACAATACCCGGTCAAGTTTTGCCCAAAGAGGTCCCTTATTGTTAATCCCATAATTTAACAAACAACAATCATAACAAGAAGAATAAGAAGCAGATAGGAAGAAATCGACAAGATTGAACGCGAATCTGGTATACCGTATGAAAACCGGCCGCTGCTCTCCCTGGAGAAGGAGAGCAGCGGCAACCCTAATCTCTCTCTATCTTTACGCCTCTGAACTCTAAGCCTCTATCGATAATTAGGGTTCCCGTAAGTTAGCCTCCTTTTATAGGAGAAGTTGGCTAACTTACGGGTTACAAGGAAGCCCCCGGGCTGATACACATTTGTGGCCCGTATTACACGTTTAATTGATAACTACACAAATACAAAGATAACTAACTAGATTGAACACCATAAAATATTCCCAACAATCTCCCCCTTGGTGATCAATCGTGTTGAATCAGCATTGCAGCGCAGATATCTTTGTCTTTGTTGTTATTGAGCTTCCTTTGTCTTTGAACTTGACTTCTGAAGAAGGCTATCTGAAGAAATCCTTGCAATCTCCCCTTTGATGTCTTCTTGACAATTTGATCTTTGATGCCGGGGGTTGAGGGAGCTTCAGTATCTTGCATGTAGTCCTTGCCTTCCAGAAGTTGCTCTTGATCAGCTTGGATGAAGTCCGGTGACGCCTCTAGAATGAATATTCTTTGGAGAATAGGAGACGCCCATGGAATTCATCTTCAGGACACGAGTAGTTGACCTCTGTCTCCTCCACAATGTAGTCTTTTTGACTATTTGGAATGAATGCTTTAGAGGAGAACTTGTCGGTGGCACAACGGAACATAATGATGGTTGACTTGTGAGCGTAGCTGACCATTTGAGTTGCGGAGATAATAGAGAGAGTGTTGGAGGAGAGAAGTGTCCCAGAATGATTTTTTTTTGACAGTTAACAGCATGTGGACCACTCTCCCCCTCATGACGATCCGATAATTCGGGGCGTCATGCCTTTATTCTTTTATTCTGCAGAAATAAAAACAGGAAAAACAAGCAGAATGTAAAGAAGATAACGTAGCCCCCCGGGGTCGTGAAGACGCCCGTTATCATCACTATAGAGATAAACTCTAAAGCAATGGCCTGAAAATGTTGGTGATTCTGGTGTTGCAACATCAGGACTTCCTTCCAATTATTGGTCTACATCTGTAATAGATGAGCCCTATGGAAGTTCTCGCGGGTCATGTAGACCTGCAACTGACTCTAAAAGTGCGTCTGTGTCCTAGAAAATTTCAAAACATTTGGGAGTGAGTAACTAGACACAACGTGATCAATGAAAGTTCAGTGGCATGGGGCTGAGGCCACTGTAGTCAGTATTACTTGCCTCGGAAGGAGATAGTAATGAGAGATGCGGTTCCCCGTGAAATATGATTAAACACCTGTCTGTTGGGAGACAAATGAGTGGTCTTGGATAGGGTTCAACATGCACTGTTGGACAAGATGCAGTGACTTCTACCCGGGATCTGATTAAATCAGTCCTGAACCTATTTGGGAATTGTCCAAAGTGTTTGAGTGGCTAGGAGTAAATGTTCAATACATAGCAGGCAGTTGAGGTAGCAGACTCATCATTGATTATTGTTTTACTTCTCACTTGAGCCTTCTGCTTCCTAATGCTCATAATTTTCACTCACTCACTTGCTCACTCACTCACTTGCTCACTCACTCACTTGCGCTCGGCTTTGTCCCTTGGGTAGGCTTAGTTGGGTTTACTAAGCTATAGGGACATGTTCTCTCATTACTTTCTTCATTTTCTCTCTGTACTCCCCCTCAACTGGAGCACTCGGTGTGCTTTGTCATTGTTAGGCACCGGGAAGGATAACATTGATCACTCCCCCTAGAATGTTGCATCCGTTGAGAGATTCCTTGCTTAGTCAATGTCAGGCGCCAGGAGGAGAAAACTGAAACTCCCCCTCAGAATGTGCAAGGTTTGATTGCTCACAGCTTGTCATACCTGCCATGTGTGTGGAGCAATCTGAACAAGTACCACACATGACGGTTCCCTCAGCTCACCGTGTAGAATTTCAGCATATTGAAGATTACATAATGTTGATGAGTCAGGGGAGGCTTCAGCAGTTGATTGTTGATTGTTGTAAGATGACCGTTGACGCGAGGTTGATTGAATTATCTACGATTTTCGGACCTTTACAGTTAGGTTTAGAAAAAGTTTGACCTCAGGGTTGACTTTGAAAGAATTTGAACAGATTTGCCTAAGTTTTGACCTGGACATCGGTGATTTACAATGTTTGTCGGAAAACTAACGTTTTGACCCTCAAGGGCTGCGAGTGAGGGCGCGTGAGATTGGGTTCTGGGACACAGCCCCATAATTAATGTATATCTTTTCGTTATCTTTCCAACAAAAAATTGTTTGCTCAAATTGGATCACCGAGTCAAAAGTTATGGCAAAAACAGTGCGGTGTCGCAAAAAATCTCTAATATTGAGTTTTTGAGGAAAATCTTCGAGGTTGAGGTTCTCGATGTTGAATTTCGAGAGCAGGTGAATTTAAACAAAATTATAAGGCAAAAACTCAAAATCCAAATCTGGAGATCTTAATTTCGAGTTTGCCTTGAAGAGTAATGATGAAATCCACCTGCAAAACAGACCTCAGAATAACGATATCTTCAGAATTTCAAAATGTTTGGAACCTCGAAAACTTTGGAGTTTCGAAAAACCTCATAATATCGAAAACTTGCTGCTTGAAAAACATCAGAACATCGAAAACTTCTAAAACTTTGATAAACAGGGAATCATTCAGATATCTAAAATGTAAAGCTTCGATGAACTGCAAAGGATGTCAAGATTCAAATTATGAGTTCCAAGAAACTGCAAACTTTGAAAAATTCAAAACATCGAGAAATTCCGAAAATTCTGAATTTTTTTTGGAATGTCGAAATCCAAAACATCGAGTTCCTAAAACTCGAAATAAAATCCAAAACTCGCAATTCCGAAACTCTCAAATTTTAAAAAAACTCGAGGTTTAAAACTCGAGGTCAGAACTCGAGGTTTAAAACTCGAGGTCAGAACTCGAGGTTTAAACTCGAGGTCAGAACTCGAGGTTTAAACTCGAGATCAGAACTCGAGGTTTAAAACTCGACGTCAGAACTCGAGGTTTAAAACTCGAGGTCAGAACTCGAGGTTTAAACTCGAAGTCAGAACTCATGGTTTAAAACTCGAAGTCAGAACTCGAGGTTTAAAACTCGAGGTCAGAACTCGAGGTTTAAAATTCGAGGTCAGAACTCAAGGTTTAAACTCGAGGTCAGAACTCGAGGTTTAAACTCGAGGTCAGAACTCAAGGTTTAAACTCGAGGTCAGAACTCGAGGTTTAAAACTCGAGTTGAAGACCGCGAGTTTACAACTCGAGTTGAAGACCGCGAGTTTACACCTCGAGTTGAAGACCGCGAGTTTACAACTCGAGTTCATGACTGCGAGTTTAAAACTCTCGATTTTTATAAACTCTCGAATTTTGAGAATCTGAAAACTGTTCTGAATAGCCCTGAAGGTCGTGATCCCTCCTGTATCTGTTCCAAGTCAAAATCGTTTCTGCACCAGTGAAAAAGCATAAACTCGCAATTCATGTAGAGTTCTACGAAAAATGAAAATTTGCAGAAATCGAAAAAAGGTATATGCTGCTGGATCGGCTTTGAAGGGCGATTCCAACAATATAATTTTTACAGATTTTCATTCACAAACAAGATTACAGGAGCAAAACTCTATATGAAGAGAAATAGAAGAAAAGCAGAGCATTCTTCGTTAGATCCAAGAAAATCACAGATACATTCAACCTGTTTCACGCCTCGGCTCTGATACCAAATGTTAATCCCATAATTTAACAAACAACAATCATAACAAGAAGAATAAGAAGCAGATAGGAAGAAATCGACAAGATTGAACGCGAATCTGGTATACCGTATGAAAACCGGCCGCTGTTCTCCCTGGAGAAGGAGAGCAGCGGCAACCCTAATCTCTCTCTATCTTTACGCCTCTAAACTCTAAGCCTCTATCGATAATTAGGGTTCCCGTAAGTTAGCCTCCTTTTATAGGAGAAGTTGGCTAACTTACGGGTTACAAGGAAGCCCCCGGGCTGATACACATTTGTGGCTCGTATTACACGTTTAATTGATAACTACACAAATACAAAGATAACTAACTAGATTGAACACCATAAAATATTCCCAACACTTATTCCACGTAAAGAATTCCCCCGTGGATGGGGCATCTTGAAGGCTAGCCCGGATTTTAAAATCAAGTAAGTCTTTTAAAAGATAGTTCGAGGGTGCGTTAGAACCCAATCTCTCATTAGGAGAGCAAACACAATTAAAGTCACCCGCTAAGAACCAAGGGTCTTTAATTTGATCCCCAAGCAAAGAGAGGTGCTCCCATAGAGACCTACGCCTTAAAACTGTATATAACGAATAGATAAAAGTAGCATGAAAAACAATTTGAGACGTGAGGCATAGGCATTTGAAGTGCATGTGTTGCTCCCCCATTTCAATTAACGTACATGTGATTAAATTAGGATTCCAAAACACAAGTATACGTCCACCATCTATAAAAGAGTGATTAGTTTCAAAAAACCAACCAGTCCATTTCTTAGTTATATAATTCTCAATATTTATTTTTGTTATTTTTGTTTCCAAAAAACAACACAAACTCGCATGATTAGAATTAATAAAACTCGAAATAGTAGAGTGTTTAGAAGGTTTTTTCAAACCTCTCACATTCCATATGACGGCTTTAATCATCAGGATCATCAGAGCTAGAGGTGTGGTCATCCTCTGATTCGTCCACCACTTCCTTCTTTTTTTGTTGCCTAGCCTTCATCCTCTTGCGTAGCTCCATGTTTTCTACACTGTTATCATAAAAAAAAGCAACCACTTTAGGAATAAAAATCGAGGCGTCAAATTTATACCATGGTGCTTCCCGTTTGACTCCCGGGAGTGTGCGTAGGCATTCTTGTGTGAAGAACATCCCTAGGCAGTCCGAGTCCGTCCTTTTGAAGTCGGGTCCCACACGTTGCACTTGTTGACTAAAAGGGAGAAGTTCCCTTTTTGCTGCGAAGATGGTCCTTTGTCCGTGCTTGTCGAATTCCATGCTTGTTACAACATCTTCCTCATCCAATTCGTATTCACTTTGCACTTGGCGTTCCCCCCAATGTTCATAAGGTTTCTTGCGGTAGTTCCTTGGTTCAGCCGCACTAGCCGCAGCCCTAGACATGGCTTCCTTTTCCTTACGCAACTTATCCTCGGCAGCTTGTGCTTTGTTCCTTTCTTGAGCAAACTCGACATTGTGGCTAGCTTTAAGATCAAAAAAAGTAGCAACATTAGGAATAAAAACTTCTTTATTAAAATGATACCATTTTTTGGTGCGCTTTACTCCCGGGAGAGCCACCAAGCAAGGGTCCGTGAACATGATAGCCGGTGCATCCATTTGCGCCTCCTTAAGCGTGTCCAAGTCAAGCCTTTCCACCGGTACGCTACTCTTAATTTGATGGTGTTTTTTAACAAAGGCCATCTTCGTTCCATCCTCTTCGGCCACAAAATCAGTCACAATATCATCGGTTTGCATAAGGTGCACATTTGTTATTCTTCTTCCTCTCCATTCGAAATCCTTGACCGGATTCTTCTTTTGAGTCACGGGTACAATTGGCTTAGGAGCAGCCGGTGTCTTTGAAGCATTAGAAGTGGTAGCTATGGCCTTGTTCTTCCTTGGTTTAACAAGTTGAAAAGGAGCCTCTTCCATATCCCCATGGACAATAGCACTAGCCCCGGCATCATCCTTACCATTTGGCTTCACGATTTTTTTGTTAACAAGTACATCTTTTTTCACCTCCTCTTTTAGCTCCGGATGAAGCACATTACACATAAAGGGATTATGGCCATACTTCTTGCATTCGTAGCAATACGTAGGATAAGTCTCGTATATAACATATTGCTTTATTTTCCTCCCGGATGGTTGGATCATGGGGATTTCAAGGACCGGAGGCTTAGTAAGATCCACCTCCACAAGAACACGGGCAAAGTTAGCTCTTGCCTTGTTTAGAGTGACTTGATCCACAATTATAGGCAGCCCAACCCGTGAGGCAAGCTCACTTATCTCCGGTTTATTCCATAGAGTAACCGAAAGCCCGGAGAGTTTTATCCAGATAGGAACCTTAAGGAACTCCTCCCCATCAACATCAAAATCATCAGATAGGACCTTGAGGAAAAGAGCCTTACCATATGATGAGTAAGGTCCCTCGGAAATCACTTTTGTGCGGTCTTCCTCATTCTTAAATTGGAAGATAGTCCATCCTTTGTCATGCGACTTTATTTTACATTCAACACCCCATTTTCTAATGAGGTCAAGTACAGCGTTTCTGCCGGGGAATCTGCCCGCGAAGCTCCCAACTAAGCAATATCCCCAGATTTCAATAATAGATGGTACTTTCCTATTGGAAAAATCAACAAAATCCCCAATGGGTGGTGTTAGTATATATGTCCTAGCGACAATCACTTTTTAGAGATATATGTACTTGATCACATTCAGTTTTATATATTCGATATATGCGGTATTACACATTGATGATTAAGTATTTTGATTGTCAATATCTTATTCATAATTGTGTTCCCTTGGACTTATGTTATCAATAAGTAAGTGGGAGCTTATATGATATCACATAAGGTCCTAAAATAGCCCCAATCAATGATCATCAAGAATGGGATATTGATGATATGCGATAAGATTGGTATGTGGACTGCATCATACTTTTAGAAAGTATAGTTGATCTCACAACTATGAGTTCCTGTAATTCATGAGGGTCACATAGATATTTTAGAGAATATTGGCATACCCACCGAGAAACCATTTGATAAGTTCTATTCATGTGTCTATGGTATTATCGGCGTATAGAGTAGTGTAATAATCCTCCGACTTGAGGTCAATACGTACTACATGTGCGGAGTGATGTACTTTGACCATGACCAACGCTTGCACTCCAATCGGGGTAGATACGGCATGTGTTGGGTGCATCACGAAGCACATGGAGTAGTAGTTGAGCCAAGAAAGGATTCATTCCTCATAATAGATTAAGAGAGAACATTCTACTTCTCATATATAGATGGATCATAAAGTCATTGGCCAATGCAAAGATATATTCGTTTTGGATATCGAATATGATCGTAATGGATCATCTAGAAAGATTGAGAGACAGAGACTGAGTTATTGGAATAGACACAATATCATGTTCTAGACTTAGTTGAATGTTCGTTTGAATGAAAGGACCGTATCACTATGAGCTCTATATTACAGGGAGTTTGTATAGTCCTCACAAACGTCCTTATATATTAAGTTTGTCTGGAGAATCGTCTAGGGATTCGCTAAGACCTTAATTTGATTAGTGCTTAATATATAAGGCCCTATGGGTCACACAACAAGTGATTATACCTTTCGATTGAATTGTTAGAAGGAATTAAATATTATTAATTGGATTAAATAATATTTAATTTGTAATACTGAAAATGAATTAAATATTAATTAGATTAAACATATTTAATTCATGAAGCTGAAGGAGAGTTCTATTTGATAGAATTAATTAAGTAAGATAAATTTGATTTATCATACTTAAATAAGATGTATTTATTATTAAATAAAGTAGATATTTTCTTTTGTAATTTTGAATTAAAAGAAAAGTAAATAAAATAAATATTAATATATAATAATTAGAAAGTGGCGTGCAGCCACATCTCAATTATTATTATTATTATTTGGTTTTGTTTTATCTACTTATTTAATTAATAAGGAGTATTGGTCCTGTTAGGATTAGAACTCATTAATGAAGAACACTTTCATTGTGATTGGGAAACTAGTTTAGAACTAGTATAAATACACCCTCCTCCTTCATAATTTATAGACCAGTTTTTAGATTCAGTATTACCAGTTTATTTCCCCGCAAAGAGATTTCCTAGCCTTTCTCTTAGGGAGATCTAACCGTTCTTTCGGAGAGGAGAAATCACGTGGATACCTAAGGTCAAGGATTATAACCGCTAGGCTGGAAGATCTGTAAGTTCTAACTCAGATCTGTTATAATTATTATATTCGTTATTTTGTCATAATCAGGAAAGATCTGTTTGGGAAAATTTTAAACTTCCGCTGCCGTACTTTCGAGGTACGTTACATCCATTTACTAACAGGTGGGACATACTCCAGTTTCATGCCATGGGAGAGGGAGCGATTATTTTGGAATAAATTCGCCCATCCCTTTTTATCTTTGCCATCATTTTCTTCTTCAAGATCCTCCTCATAACTAGCAATGGATGTTGTGTCCACGGACCCAATAGTAATAGAGTCATCTTCCTTCGAAACATCCACTTTAGGCGTGGCCACCTCATTTGTAGCACTTGAAGCCGTTATTTCTTGTTCAAAAGTAATTTCCTTCAAAGGTGTTACGCATGAGGGAGGGGGCTGACTTCGTTGTGTCGGACCAGGATTAATGGTGAGCTTTGGAGCCGTCTTGGGAATGTACACCTTTGTAGCCTCCCCTCCTTCTTTTGGTTCTCAATCTCCAACTTCTTTGCATTGATCATTTTGATTTTGGCACCAAAGGTGTCATCCTTAGGTGGAGGAGTACGGGACTGTTTGTTATTCCTCGTCATTGTAGTCAGTGCATCACACCTGCAGTGTTAGTACCAACCAAAAAACAAAAGAAAACTGCCCACAGGACTTTTCGCACCACAAAGATTAGTACCAACAAAATCAGTAGCAAAATACCAAAATTAAACAGTCCAAATGAGCTTAGAAAATTCTGAAAAAACTCTCACACGTTCCCCTTGAAGTTGGGAACGCAACGGTATATCCCGTTAAACCAGTGATCAAGTATGGAGTTCAGAAAGAGCTCGTAACTAGTCAAAGGTGCACAGGAATTACTGTAGCAAGCAGAAAGTTGGGATTTTTGAAAGTGTTCCAAAAAAACTCAAAACATTCTAGGAGACCCCCCTCAATATTCTGAACAACCTGGTATGATTAGTTTAACCAACAGCCAAGTCTAGAAGCCAAGAGACTTGTTTAACAAATTCTGGGTTCGCATTTTTTACTGTAGCAACCTCCCAGTGAACTGAGACGATGAACAGTAACACGTAAAACAAAAAATTCGTCATAAAATTCTCAAAAATTAACCAAGTGCTCTCCTCAGCTAGACGATGATCACAGTATAATCAGAAATCACAGAACACAAGTAGAAAAATAATTAAAATTCGTCAAAGTTCCCAGAGTTCGAGCAAGCAACAGTACCCAAGAAATTGGGGGAAACTTGAAAACTTACTCAAATCCGGCGAAACAAGTACCCAAATGCTCGCCTTGAAGTTACGAACCTCGGACTGTACTCAGAATCCGGTTTGAACGACGAGATCTTGAGAAATCCGCAGTCAAACATTCGTCGGTGAACAGTACCCCGTCGCAGCTCCTTCCTCAAAACTCCAGTACGGCGGCTAGTAGGGAGGTCGGAAAACGGTCTGGGAGGTCCGCCCGGAGGTGGCGACCCCCAAACACCCTTCCTTTTCCACAGACAATCGTCCGAAACCAAATCCAAGCTCGAAGAAGAAAGTCACCAAATGAACAGTAACTCTGCGAATTTATTTTTGGAAAGTCGTTCGTTTCTTGCTCTGTAATCCCAAATCTGTTCGAATCAAAGGTAGATAAGGTAGATTATAGGGTTACGAACAAGGAAACAGCTGGAAATCTTTGTGTAAACGAGCAGATTAGGAGCCAAGAGCGCTGAAAGTTCGTGCGGCCAAGAAAATTTTCTAACCGTTAGGTGCGAAAGTTTTCTAGTGAGAAGCCAGAGCGTTCCCTACGCGAACTTACTATCGGGGAGTGGAATGGTAAGTGGTTGTAGTAACCCTGTTGGGTGTTGGTGCTCTGCCTTAACATGTTGACAGGTAAGGCAACGACTCACGAATTCTGCAATCTCTCTCTTCATCCCCGACCACCAGTAACTTTCTTTCAAGTCCCGATTTATCTTTGTACAGCCCGGGTGCATGGCATACACATATGAGTGAGCCTCCTCAAGGATAGATTTATGGAGCTCCTCATCCGATGGCACACACACTCGTTCCTTGAACAGTAGAAGTCCATCTTCTCTCTCACGGAAACCCTTGACGGGCCCCACAAGCATCTGTTCCCGGATTTTTTGAAATTCCTCGTCATTGCCTTGACATGTTTTGATTTCATCTAATAAGGTGGGTCTCACCTCAAACCTGGCCAACAACGCCCCATCCGTGGATACTTCCACGCGTGCCCTTAATGTTTGTAAGCATGTGAGTAAGACCCCCGATGAACTCTTCCTACTAAGAGCATCGGCAACCACATTAACCTTCCCTGGATGATACTCAATAATCAAGTTGTAATCCTTGATCAACTCCATCCATCTCCTTTGCCTCATGATCAACTCTTTCTGAGTGAACACATACTTCAAACTCTTGTGATCGGTATAGATGTGACACAACTCTCCGTAAAGGTAGTGCCTCCAAATCTTCAATGCAAACACCACAGCCGCCAGCTCCAGATCATGTGTGGGGTAATTTACCTCATTCTTTCTCAACTGTCGAGAAGCATAAGCAATTACCTTCCGTGATTGCATCAGTACGCATCCAAACCCTTGGATACTAGCATCACTGTAGATGTCATACCCTAACCCTTGCACGGGTAGGGAAAGCACTGGAGCTTCAGTCAAACGTTTCTTTAGCTCAAGAAACCCCTTCTCACACTTGTCATCCCACACAAATTTAACCCCCTTCTTAGTGAGTTTCGTGAGTGGAGATGCTATCGCCGAGAACTTCTCCACGAATTTGCGGTAATACCCTGTTAAACCGAGGAAACTCCGTATTTCCTTCACATTCTTGGGCCTTTCCCAGTTTGTGACTGCTTCAATCTTCGAGTTATCAACTGAAATGCCCGATCCAGATACCACGTGCCCGAGAAAACCGATTTCCCCAAGCCAAAATTCACATTTAGAGAATTTGGCAAAGAGTTGCTTCTCCCGCAGTGTTTCAAGCACACGTCTTAGATGTTTCTCGTGTTCATTCATGGAGTATATCAAGATGTCATCTATGAATACAATGACAAGCTGGTCCAAGTATTGGTGAAATACTCGGTTCATGAGGTCCATGAATGCTGCGGGGGCGTTCGTAAGCCCAAACGACATTACTAGAAACTCATAGTGACCATACCTTGTACGGAATGCACTTTTGGGTATGTCACTCTCCTTGATCTTCAGTTGATGGTAGCCCGATCTCAAGTCAATATTAGAGAACATGGTTGCTCCCCGTAGCTGATCAAACAAGTCATCAATCCTTGGTAAAGGATATTTGTTCTTTATCGTGACTTTGTTCAACTGACGATAGTCGATACACATTCTAAGTGTACCATCTTTCTTCTTTACAAAGAGTACCGGTGCTCCCCATGGTGAATGACTCGGCCTAATGAATCCGCTATCCAGTAATTCTTCTAATTGAACCTTCAACTCTTGAAGTTCAACCGGTGCCATCCGATATGGAGGAATCGAGATGGGTTTTGTGTCGGGTTCTACTTCAATGGTGAACTTAATTTCTCGATCTGGTGGGAGTCCCGGGAGTTCTTCAGGAAAAACCTCCGAATACTCACTCACCACCCTCACCTCTGTGAGACTCTTCCCCTTGCCTTCCTTGCCTATGACGCAAGCTAAGTAAGCCTGACACCCTTTCCTCATCATACGCCTTGCTCTTATGGCCGATATGATACAAGGATTGAATTTTCCTCAATCTCCCTTGAAGCATAGAGTATTTCCCTCCTCATCTTTTAGTTCTAACATCTTGGTGTAGCAATCTACTTTCACATGGTGTTTTTCAAGCCAATCCATGCCAAGTATAGCATCAAACTCGAGCATATCTAACGGCACGAAGTCGCCCGTTAGACGGTGCTCTCTATCCCTACATTACACGAGGGATAGTAGCATTTCCTCTCCACATCGTCTCCCAATGGTGTAGAGACCAACAAAGGTTGCGCCATTTCTACTAAAGGCATGCCCAATCCCTTGGCAAACGCTTCACTCAAAAATGAACGT